TAAACCGGTCCACTTGGGACCTGGAAACTTTGTCGGGTTTCACCCCGGGTTGGGTTTTAAAACATTTGAGGTATGTAATAACTTGATAGTATAGACACTTTCTTGTTGAAGTCAAAATATTTCTAACTTCTTAAGAATATTTAGAGCTTTTTGACACGAAATTTCTTGTATTTTCATATTATCATCCTCATGATTATTTCTTTTCTCTGCTTGTCTAATTGTAGCAATGACTACTAAAACAATGAATTAAATTTTAATATATAGAATTAAAACGTGAATTATAAACTAAGAAATCAAAACAATAATTTTTGTAACTACATCTCTATTAAGTTATAATCTTCTTATAGTAATAAATTAGTTTGATCTCATCATTATGATTATAAAAAAGTTATATTTTATATATAATAAGATAGATACTGCAAAAGACCTTCACATTTCAAACAAAATTGATTAGCTCTTATAAAATCTATGTTTTCATTGGGCGCATGTGATACTTGTATTATAACAAACGATGCAAGAATACATGGGAATATTATATAAGGTTAGTGTAGGAAACGGTGATACTCATACGTGGACACAACACTGCTGCACAATGTTCTGAAAATCAGACCGGACCGTCCGGTCGGACCGGTTTGATCGGGAGCTGAAGGTATTTTCGGTCCGGTATCTCATAAAAACAGATATTTACCATTAAACCGGATTGAGCCGCAGTTGGACCACTGGAATACTGCGGAGTTGCGGTCCAATCGCGGTCCAATCGCAGCTCAATCCTATCGCACTCAATCCCATCGGATTCCGGCATCGTTCGACGGAGAAAACACTGCCATTCGACTTGACGACATCTCCACGACCAAACTCATCCATTTTCAGTGGTCGTCGTCCAGCCTTCGTCACTCGCCATCCACCTAAAGTTTACGCGACCGTCAGATTTCTTTTATTGATTCCGGCGAGTTCCGACGTCGATGGAACTCCCTAGCACCACCATCAGATTCGCCGGCACCTATACATCAAAAGCCCCATGATTCCAACTTCGATTGGCTGTCGATCATCGCTGTCGCCACCATCACCAATCTCTTCGCGTAATAGGTGTATTTTAGACGGATTTCAAACTTTAAGGGAGTATTATAGGGGTGTTTTTGATGAATTTCAAACCTTCAAGGACTACAAATAATTTTACAGAATACGGTCCAACCGACCGATGCAACCGGTCAAACCAAAAACTAGACCCTTGAACGGGTCATAGTCCACTCTGGTTTTCGGAACATTGCTGCTGCATAATCAATTTCCTTATTTGGAACTTGAGGACAAGGATCCAATTGGCAAGGGGAGTATTGATAGGCCGAGAAGATCTGAACGAACCCCTAAGAAGAAGGAAGAATCCCAAGTTTTTAGCTTGAGTTCAACCAAGTCTAAACCAGCCTTTTATTTTATTTTTTGCTGTTGTTTTTTACTTCTGCTCATTTAAAGTTGTTACAACTCATTTCCTTGAATTTAGGCTAGTTAGTTTCCTGAGTTGAAGCTGATCTATTAATCTTAACTCTATTTATTGGAACGTTAGCAATGAATAAAGCAAGTATAATTTTCTTACAAACAATTGGGGTTTATCTTTCACCCAAAGAAAGTGAGTATTCCTCATGGTTTTTTCTGCTGCTTGATCGGTACCAATCATAATTTCACCGGGAATTTAATTTTCTAATTATTTTAACCAAAAAAAATTCCCAAACATAAATACAATATAATCAAAATTTAAATAAAAAACATAAATATACCTCATCACATCTTTAACGCTGAACAATAAGCAAGAAGCATGGTTTTGATACCAAATTCGAAATATTAGGCATGTAATATAATGCAGAATTTAATCACTTACCTCCAGTTATATTGTTCAAGTGTTGTAGAAAAGTCAAACGTGAATGATTTGTGTTTGAGTGTTTGAGAGACGTCTTCTAGCCTATGCCTCCATAAATTTTGTGTTGTGTGATATCTCTTTGATGGAAAAGATAATATCCTTATATATGGCTCGGCTAAAGACCAAATAACTCTCACCAACTGCCTTTAACTTTCCATTAAGGATCAAGAGAGGCAGTTAAATAACTTCTTTAAACCACCTTGTACTGCATAATTGTGGCATGTGGCCACATCAAGTCTTACAACCTTCACAACTACCATGCTGAAACCTCCACGACCATCATATATAAATTATTGTATGAGCAGTGCTCACGTCAAGAGTGTAACATGTCTATGAGAGGGTTCAAACCTTATACCTAGTAAGAGAATCTTCCATATAACAATCAGAAGCTCGAATTCAAAATGAGAGTCCCTATACTTAGGAGGAGCAAATAACATGTCTAATGTTATAAGCCGAGAGTTTCACACCCAAAAAACTAACGTATAACATATTAGGTGGAGGGACTCTCCTAATTTATAAGCCCAAAACCTCTCCAATGTGTTTTCAATATAGGATTCGTTACACTAAACCCCAACATATAATTTAGATCAAGGCGTACTATTAGGTACCTCCCTTAGTCACCGTTTTCTAACCAAAAAGATGGACAGAAAACAAATAATATCCCTAATGCCCCAAAGAATTGGCTGTTGATATACTGTTTTTATAGTTGGGCAATTTTTTCACATTGTCATGAACTGATTGAATAAGTATTCATCCGTGTGTTTTATGAAAGACCAAAAAATGAAATAATTAATAAATATTTTACTAATTGTTGTATATATGCATTTTTTTTTTTTCTAAATTAAGCCATATTACCACTAAATATAGGCTAAGTTTGTAATGACGCATGCACCCTTTGTCAACAACGTTTGACCATTACAAAACGGTGCCCAGGGGAGGATTTGAGGAGTGTTAATAGCTCAAGGGAGGTAGTTTACAGATTCTGAAACGTCGGCGAGTATTTAAAAAGCCTTAAACCTCAGGGTCGGGGGAGGTATTTGATAATATGCCTTAGATCAAATTTAATGTGGGCTAAATTTATCTAACAAACCAAAAAATGCTCTGATGAATTTACCTAAATTTATCTAAATTAATCCATAAAGTCAATGACATCACGCATGAGGAAAGCAGATGTGAGCTGGCATGCATGGATTGTCAGTGTTGACCAGTCGTCTCCCTCTAATATGGCTTTTGATTTTGAGGTGACATAAGCATGGATCTCATCAGCTGGAATTTCTCTCATTTTGTCTTAATATAATAATTAATATATATATAAAGCTGAGAATCTATTCGGGTTATTCATCATATGACAAATTTTAGAACTTAAACAATTGTTTTATTTTGACATATATGACTTGTGATTGTCATATTATTAAATTTTATTGATGATAATAAAGAGATATTAAATATTGAATTGATATTTTAAATTTAAAGGTAAAAATATATTTATTCGAGTAACACATAGTATACTTATTTTTAGTTTCAAAATTACTTTATTTTGGAGTTCTAAAATTGCCCACTCTTCTAATATTGGATGTCTGATTTAATGAGATATCTCTCTCTATATATATATATATATATATATATATATATTAATAGGATTAGAATTTAAAGATTTAAGTAAAAAGATAAATTTGTGAGATATTGATTGGTGCATTGTTATTTCAAATGTCAGATACAAAGATTGTCCAAAAGTTATTAATGGCTGCATTGGTTATCGTACATACATATTCACTCATCTAAAATTTATAGATTGCTGCATTGGTTATCGAAACGTCTAATCAAAACATACACATTTATCCAAAGGAGCTGCAGCAAACACTCCAATACAAAAAAATGCATCCATTTGGGTACAGAGCCAACGCTCTGTTAACTTTAGCCGTCACCATTGTCGCCTTAATGTGCGCCATCGCTTCTCTTTCTGACAACCTTAACACTCCTTCTCTGACTGCTGAAATCCGGGTCAACTTTACGAGTGTCTTTTATCCGATTTGTTGTATTTTTTTAGATCCATCTCTGGTTCGTATTAGAATTAAGAGAACCCAGTTGTGTTTTTGTGATTTTGACTGATTTTTGTTTCTGGGTTTGTGTTTTTTGTGATTGTAGGTATTGAATATTAATTGTTTTCAGAAGTAGACGCACGGAAACAATGAGGTAATTTTTCAATTTTTGTGATTTTTAGTATTAGTTGTTTGCTTTGATGGGTTGCTGTTAGATTTTTGAAACTTTTGATTTTTTTTTTTTTTTTTTAAAACGTTGGGTTCAGGTATGAAACATTAGTTTTTGTTTTTGTTTATTTTGAATGCTTAATGTCTGAATTTTATTATTTCGAAGGTAACTGAGATGTTTATTTAGTTTCAAATTACCTAAATGGATTTTGATATTGCAGGAAGTGTTAGAATTAAGAAAGAACATCTAGATGAGATTCTGCAGTAATGAATGATAGGGATGATAAGAGGGGTTACAAATAAGGGATTGTTTGAAAAAGCTATGGAGTTTTATCGTAGAATGGAAATTCAAGGGTTTAGAGCTGATAATTTACATACCCGTTTGTGATTAAAGCGTGCGACTTACTGATCTTGGACCTGAATATATATTCTGAGATTCCTTGAATTATATTCACTAAAATTATACTGTAAATTTTTTGTTGGAATTTTAACTTCACTTCCATTCCGCATGATTTCTAAACATAAAATTATAAGCAGGGGCTCAATGTAAGCACAGCAGTTTTTGATGGAGCGAAGCATCTGATTGCATTTGGTGGCTACAACGGGAAATTACTAATGTGGTAGTTGTATTAGATAACTATTTGTATCTGGCTTTTTCAGAGGCAATAGTTTTTTTTCTATTTTCTTTTTCTTTATATGAACTAGGTTATTCTGAAAGCCTTAGTCGTTTCTATTGTTGTCAAGTTGTACCATATGTTTCTAGCATAAAGCTAAGCTCAAGTTCATGAAGATGTATGTGCTGAATTGTTGTGTTATGGTTAATTTTTTTTTTTTTTTTTGCCCTTTAGATTAGTGTTGATCAATAATTTCAGTTGGTCTGTGAATGTAGTATCTTCACTGTTTGTTATGGTAGTTCTATGTATCTTAATCATTTTGGGGATTTTGGTGGATTAGTATTTACGAACGCATAATTAGGCTCATGATGCATCACATTTGTTTTTTCTTTTTTCAATCTGTACACAGGATACTCATCTTCTACTGACTGGGGGAGTGGAGAAAATCCTTCGTATTCTTGATTTGAATCGTCCAAATGCACCCCTGGTCAGTCAGAACTGTTGCATGGCTCCATAGTGATCAAATAATGTTAAGCTCTTGCTCTGACATGGGCGGTGTCAGGTATGCCTGTTTCTCCTGCATCATACGTATGTTGTTACATGGAAACTAAATTTGGTTGATATCTTGGTTTTTTTCGTTTTGATTCCTTTCAATAACCATAATGTGATAGTTTATCATGAAATTTCTGGGTGCTCACATAAGTATAAACTAATGCAAGCGGTAGATAGAATAAGCTAAAGACATGGGTCCAGTTACCAAGCTGCATTGCATTTGCAGAGGTTTGGGGATCAAATCTTAGAAAATGAGGTTAAAATTTGAGGTTGTAGGGATATTAGTATTCCTTTGGCCCAAGGAAAGACAGATTTAAAAAAAAATGTTAATTGCTTCATATATTCTCCTGATGTTTTATTACTTGCTGTTACTTGATAGAAAAATTGTTGGGCTAGCTATTCAATTATATTAGATTATAATATTTTATACATGTTTTCTCCTAAAGTTGAAGTTGAAAATAGTTCTTGGGCTGGATGATGGGATTTTCTATTTTTTCTAATCATTACTAAAATTATTAGTGGTTGTACAGGTTATGGGATGTAAGAAGTGGTAAGATAGTCCAAACACTCAAGACCAAGTCATCTGTGACCAGTGCTGAAGTGAGTCAAGATGGTCGTTATGTCAAAACTGCTGATGGGTCAATAGTTAAGTTTTATGCCTTGGCCAAATCTGAATCTTGAACTCTAATGAAATGGGAACTATCTTTCTGAACAAGATGTTACAGTTGATATTGAGGCAATCAAAGAAGAGAAAAGAGTTTTGGAATTGTCTCTAGCAGAAGCCAGAGACAAAAATTCTAGGCTCAGAGAAAAGGTCGATGAAGTTAACAGTACTCATGGTGAATTATCCAAGGTCTGCTCTTGATGACACAATTACTTTTTGTTCACTAAGTAGATGAACATTCTTGGTAAAGTTTGAGTGTGTTAGGACCCTACTGTTTCCTTAAATCTCTCCTGCTGTTCCACCTGCAAACAAACTTATATACACTACAATATCCAGCAATAGATCCACGAACACAACACAGAACACACTCACTCAATCAAGCAATGAATATTCTCAATAATTGTATTAATAATCAAGGGTTCAGTACAACTTTCTCAAGAGTATCAAAATGTAAAAGAAAAGATGAATGGAGAGTAACAAGACTGATTTTCCAGAACAGACGAAGAACACAAAGAACCATAATCTGCTGGCTTCGAGGGCCAGTACCTCCCCAGTCCCAATTTCCCCTTTTTCTCTGATATCCCACAAAAATCCCCTGTCACTCTTTTTACGCCCCACTTCATTCTAACAGAATTATTCCCATTCCAATCCAAGGATGCCACCTGTCCTTCCAAGGATGCCACTTGTTCCCTGCTTGTTCAGTAGAAATTACCATTTTATCCCTTCTGTCCACACTTTTTCCTTCTGCTGAAAACATGCACCAGCGGGGTCTCATCATTACCCTCCCCAAGGAGAGTCACCTTGTCCCCAAGGTGGAAGAAAGGAAATTGGTTGTCAATAGAGGTGAAATCCTCCCATGTGTTCTCATATGTGGGTAAGCCCTTCCATTTGATTAAGACTTCCAAAGTACCATTCAACAGTTTGCGCTTACGTAGAACCTCTTCAGGTTCGACTTGCAATACCAAATCCTCGTCAAGTGCTGCGGGAAAGGGTTGTGTAGTGGGCGGTGGGTACTTAGTTTTCTTGAGTTGTGACACATGGAAAACATCATGGATGCGTGCCGAAGGGGGTAGATCCAAACAATAGGCCACTGATCCAATCTTTTCTGTAACTTCAAAAGGCCCATAGAAGCGGGGGCTGAGTTTCTCATTGTACCGACGAGCCAAAGAACGAAGGCGGTAGGGTTGCAACTTAAGGTAAACCGAATCTCCCACTTTTAACTGAACTTCTCGTCTCTTTGCATCGGCATAGTGTTTCATTCGAGTTTGGGCTTTGAGGAGATTATCCTGTAGCTCAGCAAGGATGATATTGCGAGTTTGCAGTTGACAGTTCACTTCGTCAACTGGTGAACCATGATCCGAAAATTTAAGAAGAATGGGAGGATCACGCCCATAAAGTGCTTTAAAAGGGGTCATACCTGTGGAGCCATTGAAAGTCGTATTGAACCAGAACTCGGCCCAAGAGATCCATTTAGGCCATTGGCGAGGCTGGCTACTCACAAAACAACGAAGGTACGTTTCAACACATCGATTGACCACTTCCGATTGGCCATCAGTTTGAGGGTGGTATGCCGAGCTCATACGAAGCTGCGTGCCCGAGTGTTTAAACAACTCCTTCCAAAAATGACTGATGAAAACTCGGTCGCGATCGGATACAATGGAGCGGGGAAACCCATGTAGCCGGACAATCTCCTTGATAAAAAGGTGGGCAACATCCGTGGCCGTGTAGGGATGCTTAAGGGTCAAGAAGTGGCTGTACTTAGTTAGTCGGTCAACCACGACTAGGATGGTATCGGCACTATTTGTTTTGGGAAGCCCGGTGATGAAATCCATAGATATGTCTTCCCAAACCTGCTCAGGAATGGATAGAGGCTGCAATAACCCCGCAGGACTCAAGGCCTGGTATTTATTTTGTTGACAAACTGCACAGGAATCGACAAACTCCTTGATATCTCGTTTCATGCCCTCCCAGTAAACCACACTGCTGAGTCGTTTAAAAGTGCGAAAGAAACCCGAATGACCCCCAACAGGGGATGAGTGGAACTCATGTAGAAGAAGTGTAATGTGGGCCCCCTTCCTTGGTACCACTAGGCGGCCATTACACAAGAGATGGTGGCCAACTAACGTGAATGGTGGGTGGCCATTGGGATCCAACAACAATTTTTGAACAATTCCACGCAATTTGTCATCTTGTTGAATAGCATCCTCTAATTCTTCCATACCTGCAAAATAACTGACAGACAACCCATCAAATTCCACCTGTTCACCTCTTCTAGACAATGCATCAGCTACCCGATTCTCTGCCCTTGGTTTATACTGGATAATAAAATTCAACCCAATCAGTTTAGCAACCCATTTCTGTTGATCTTCACTTAGTAACCGCTGATCCATTAGAAAATGGAGGCTCTTTTGGTCTGTCCTAATAATGAAACGACGCCCCAATAAATAATGTCGCCACTTCTGAACTGCCATCACAATAGCCATTAATTCCCGCTCATATACTGATTTAAGTTTCGATTGAGTTGATAAGCCTTTGCTCAAAAAAGCCAACGGTCTACCCTCCTGCATCAGGACAGCCCCTAACCCACTCCCTGAGGCATCAGTTTCAATGATAAATTCCTTAGTAAAGTCTGGCAAAGCTAACACCGGAACTGAAGTCATTATCCTCTTAAGCTCATCGAAGGCCTTTTGGGCTTCCGAATTCCATTGAAATGCATCTTTCTTAAGTAAACTGGTGAGAGGAATGGCGATTTTCCCGTAATCCTTAACGAACCTTCGGTAGTAACCGGTCAAACCCAGAAATCCTCGTAAGGCCCTGATATCCTTGGGACTTGGCCACTGTAAAACACTGTCAATTTTGGAAGGATCAACCGCCACCCCACATGCTGAAATGACGTGCCCCAAATATTCTAATTCTCGCTGACCGAAGAAACACTTCTTCCTATTGGCAACCAAGTGGTGTTCTTCAAGGGTGCTGAGGGTGATCTCTAAGAGCCGGATGTGATCCTCTTTAGTGTGGCTGTAAACCAATATGTCATCAAAGAATACCAAAATGAACCGACGTAGAAAAGGCCGAAATATTTCATTCATCAAGGCTTGGAAGGTGGCTGGGGCATTCGTCAACCCAAAGGGCATGACTAAGAACTCATAATGTCCTTCGTGTGTCCTAAAAGCCGTTTTGTGGGTGTCCCCTTCCTTTACTCGAATCTGGTGGTAGCCCGACTTCAAATCTAATTTGGAAAAAATGGAAGCTCCCCCTAATTCATCAAACAATTCGTCAACCACTGGGATGGGGAACTTATCCGGAACCGTGATCTTATTAAGAGCCCTGTAATCTACACAAAATCGCCAACCGCCGTCTTTCTTTTTCACCAATAACACTGGGCTGGAAAAGGGGCTAAGGCTGGGCTTAATGACACCGGCAGCTAACATCTCACTCACTAGTTTTTCTATCTCATTTTTCTGGTAGTAGGGATAGCGGTAGGGTCTAATATTTGGGGTTTGGGAGCCGGGGAGGAGGTTAATGGAGTGGTCTTGGGTCCTTGGTGGTGGTAATCCTGGAAGTGAAGAGAAGACTGATTGATACCGAACCAGAACTGGTAGAATGTCGCTGTCCTCTTCAACTTGTGATTCACCTAGCTTCTGCAAATTACCATATTCCACAAAACACCCATGTCCCTCGCGTTGAATTGTCCGCAGCATAGCTTTTAAGGAAATCAGAGTTTTGCTCAGAGAAGGGTCACCCACAAATTTCACAATTCTGTCTCCTAGTCTGAACTTCATTACCTGTGTTTTCCAATCCACTGTTGTTTCCCCCAAGGTTTCCAACCATGCCACACCCAAAACCACATCTGCACTGTTCATCTCAAATGGGAAAAAATTCTGTATAATCGAAGTCCCCTGAATGTCCAACTGTACCTCCCTACATTCTCCCTCACATCGCACCCGATATCCATCTCCCACACGTACCCCGAAGGTTTGCGTCTGTGTCACTGGTAATCCCAACTTCTCAGTCACATCCTTGCTGATAAAATTATGCGATGCTCCACTGTCGATCAACACTATCACTTCAGCCCCACTGATTTTTCCCTTTACCTTCATGGTTTTCGGACTTGAGATTCCCACGACTGAACTAATTGAAAGCTCCGCATCATTTGGTAGTTGCTCCTCCATGGTCTCAATCAGATCTGCCCCAACGTCATTTGGCTCATCTTGACTCTCGTCCTCATCAATCAACACGACATGGAACTGCTTGTCTCCACATCGGTGGCCTGGAAAAAATTTTGCGTCACATCGGAAACAAACCCCACGCGCCTTTTTCCTCTGGATCTCAAGTTCTGTCATCTGTTTGAAGGGAAATTCTTTTCTGAAAACTGAGCTGCTCGGTTGCTGCTGGACAGAGTTGCTGCTGCTACGTTGACTAGCGTTTGGAGAAAAATGGCTGGTTCTCTCGCTCCATTGGCAGCCTGATTGGGAAGGAAAATTTTGATGTTGGTTAGAGTTTAAATTCGTGCTACCTGAAGGAACTAATGGATTAGAATTTTGTACAAACTTTGACCCATTTTCTTGCTGCCAAAAACTTTTACCCGGTCCACCACTATAGGCCCAATTTATCCTACTAATTCCACTGCCCACAACAGTCTTAACACTCTTATTTAGCCCATGTTTTAATTCTTCCAAAGCCCTATTTTTTTCTTCTATCTTCTGGGCCAGTTCAATTAGCTGAATAATGGAAGTGGGCTGGCCCAATCTAACTTCAGCTTTTAATTCGGGTTTTAGCCCATTCAGAAACGCAGCCCAAAGTAAATCTTCCTTCTCATCCTTCAATGGAGCTGACAGGGCTTCAAACTTGCGGCAGTAGTCCTCCACTGTTCCGGTCTGCTGGATTCCCATCAACGCCTCATACGGACCACCATCTTGGGATCCTCCAAACCGCTGAAGCAGAGACAGTTTAAACGCTGCCCAAGTCGTGACTGGAGCGTGGATTTCCATCCACTGGAACCAATTTATGGCGTCTCCCTCCAAACACACAGCCACCGTGTTCAGCCACTCCTCTTCTGCCACTTGATACACGTTGAAGTACCTCTCTATCCGGAACAACCACCCATACGGATCCTCTCCGACGAAGACTGGCATCTCGATTTTCCGGCCAGCATATCCTGGACGTCGTCGGCCATCTATTCCGTTTTCGTCATTCATATTTGCGTTAGGGTCCTCATTTTCCCCTTCTGTGTTACCTGTATTGTTTATGGGTGTCTCTGTCGAACCACCCCTTTCAGCTCTTCTAACTTCTTCTTCATCCTTACGCCTAATCCAAGCTTGGATTTCCAGCAAACAATCTCTCATGGTTCCCATGTCCTTCTCCACCACATCTAATCTGTTTTCCATCCTTGTTCCAACCATTCCCCAACGTCACCTGCTCTGATACCAACTTGTTAGGACCCTACTGTTTCCTTAAATCTCTCCTGCTGTTCCACCTGCAAACAAACTTATATACACTACAATATCCAGCAACAGATCCACGAACACAACACAGAACACACTCACTCAATCAAGCAATGAATATTCTCAATAATTGTATTAATAATCAAGGGTTCAGTACAACTTTCTCAAGAGTATCAAAATGTAAAAGAAAAGATGAATGGAGATTAACAAGACTGATTTTCCAGAACAGACGAAGAACACAAAGAACCATAATCTGCTGGCTTCGAGGGCCAGTACCTCCCCAGTCCCAATTTCCCCTTTTTCTCTGATATCCCACAAAAATCCCCTGTCACTCTTTTTACGCCCCACTTCATTCTAACAGAATTATTCCCATTCCAATCCAAGGATGCCACCTGTCCTTCCAAGGATGCCACTTGTTCCCTGCTTGTTCAGTAGAAATTACCATTTTATCCCTTCTGTCCACACTTTTTCCTTCTGCTGAAAACATGCACCAGCGGGGTCTCATCAGAGTGTTTATCATCTAAAATATTCATCATCCACTCCGCTGTTCGCTTGCAGGAACTCCAATCTGTCCAAGGTCAACTGGTAACCGAGAGATCATGAATCTTTAAATTGGAGTTACACCCTTCAAATTTGATAACTTATTGAAAAATCGCTGTTCATTGCCTTTTTTATACCAATTGCTTCCACAACTAGGCACCAATCTTTATAGTTTGAACTTCATACAAGGCCTAATTGTTCAAATACTGATATGATATTAATGACCAATTGAGATTGTAGAAGTCTAATTCTTTGGTTTTTCATGGCAGCCAAAGTAGAATGATGCACTTCTTGAGATATTTAGAATCAATTACATCGGTACTTCTCCATACATCACCTGTTTGCCTTCGCTCTATCATCATCGAGTCAGCCCAAGGGACAAGTTCTTGATATTGTCTTCAGATGGACTCTCTCTCTCTCTCTCTCTCTCTCTCTCTCTCTATATATATATATATATATATATATATATATATACACTTCATCTACGAAGAAGCTGTATCCGAAGTTGAGTCATTCATTGCTGCATTTCCCAAAGGAGATCCTGCACAACATCTCATGAAGCTGGTAAGAATCTGAACTAGATGAGAAAATAAAACAAAACAAACTGATCTTACATTGTGAGGCAAAGTCAATCTAATGAACTTGGTTTTGTTAACAATGCAGGTATTGACTTCCATGAGTTGCTTGATGTACAACAAGTAAGAATGGTCTCATTCTGAATGACCAATATCTGATTTTTTGGCAGAAAGACGTGGTTCGTTCTGAACAAAAAGGTTAGAAATGTGTTGATGACGCAAAGTAGTTAGACCAAGGTGCTAGAAATGATTATAGTAGCAATTTTTGCTATGGTGGTTTTGGCTTCTTATTCTGTTGCCGGTTATTGTAAAGTTTTATATGTTTACATCTACAGCAGGTTCATGTAACACTTACACCAAAACCTTCTTTGGGGTTGATGGAGCTGGAAAGCGATTAGCAGATAGGAGTGAGTCTTGATATGTGTATGGTAGTTAAAGATGATGCCAATCAATTTTGAAATGACAATTTGATCATTTAATGAGTACTTTTTGTTTTAATCGTTGAAGTATGATGAATGCAAGCTGAACGTTGTCTTTGGTTTCAGGGTAAGCATCTGAGAACAAACAGTTGTGGCAGCCTGAGAGTTGGCTATAAATGAATTGAGCTGATGGAGTCTGTGCTTCCTTCTTTCACTTATATATTTATATACATATAATTTCTTGATGGGTAGTCGTTAGGTTAGATTTATACAAGTTATTGAAATTCTGATCTCTTATTGATGCTCACTTAATTTGTTAAATATACAGTAACAACAACATTTATTCAAGTTTCTCGTAATAAATTTTGTAACCCATTGGTTTATATATAATTTGCTTTCTCTGATCAATGATATGGCGCTGGAATGGATGCTGGAGCTGTTATGGACTTATTTCTTACTCAAATCTACCAAAATGAAATTCTATTAGTCATACTGTATGAATGGAAGGATTTGATTTTGCTTTTATGTAAGGATAACAATTTTATGGGACCATCAAATTAATCATTATAATAGAATGTAAACTCTATATTTAAATGTGATTTATACCTTGCATTAGAGACATAATCAGCTTGGTAGTTATTCTATTCTCATGTATAATGTAATTATATTTTTAATTAAGGAGTGTTATATTATATAAATAAATCTGGAATAGTTTTAGAGATTAATTATTTGCTAAACATTAGTCTACATAATACATCTTAATTTAATAAGTAAGAGAGCAATTTTACATGCTGATAATTCTTGATAATACAGCCGCTAAAGTAGTGCAGAGTATTCCCAACAACAAAAAGAANAATTTTTTTTTTTTTTCCCTGATACCAAAAATTCTTTAAAAATGTTAGCTTTGCTGACTTGTTTTGATATTACCATGTGATGCAAATTATCAGTATCCTTACTGTTTGCTGCATGCTGGAGCTCTAAATTGAAGTTAAGTGCTTGTTTGATTTGCAATCTAGGTGCAAACCATTTTACCTTGAAGACAAAGAAATATAGAAGATCTTTGAGAACATGGGTGGGTATTTTAAAAAACAGTATATCTTGATTTTTGATTTCAAGTGAGATTCCTCTTGAATGATTTGACTTGCGTGATTTTCTCTATATGTATGTCTAAATTCCCACAATGCAAGACCTTATATATTTGTTTAAATTATTTTGTCGTCTACATATTGTCCACAACTATTCAATTATCAATCAGTATATTACAGAGCATAAGATAATTTGTCCTTCGTTCGAACTCTTAACTCTTTTGTTTGGCACCTGGTATCTTTGTCTGTTTCAGCCGGCCAAACTTCTTCTTCCATGAATTTCACTGTTTTAAGATTCTCTCCATAACTAAAGAAATCAGAATGCCCCTTGCACTATATGTACATACATAGCCATAAGAATCATTAAGCCCCACCTTATAGAAAAATTAATGAGCTTGCATACAAGGGAGAGCATGGGTTCTGTAGATTACCTCGTTACATCTTCCACGGATGAAGAGTCTGAAGCCTGTCTCGATGCTCTGGTATTCTCCAACTCGATAGTCTTCCCGATGGTTCTTAACACAGCCATTGAGCTCGATCTATTTTCTATCATAGCCAAAGAAGGTCCTGGTGCTTGCGTTTCGGCCTCCGAGATTGCATCTCGGTTGCCTACACAGAACCCGGAAGCACCTTCTATGGTTGATCGCATGCTGCGTTTATTAGTCAGCCATTCACTCCTTACTTGCTCTCTACGCACTCTTGAAGATGGTAGAGTTGAGAGACTTTATAGTCTCACACCTACCTCAAGATTATTAATTCTCCAAATTAGTGATGGAGTGAGTTTGTCTTGCTTATCAGCTCTTACCCACCACCCAGCAGGCCTGCAATCATGGTATGATGTGCAGAAACCTCTAGTAGTTTTGTTATTTACAATTACTCATTGCATATTTCTTGTGTTAGTATAGGTTGCATTTGAAGGATGTCATTCTTGAAGGTGGCGAAGATGATATGTTCAAGAAAGTTCATGGGATGTCCCAGTTCGAGTTCATGAGCAATGATCCAACTTACAACAATATTTTCAATAAGGCAATGGCGGGTATGTCTCAATTAATCATGAGGGGGATCTTAGACGTTTACAGAGGATACAAGGGACTTGCATCGTTGGTAGATGTCGGTGGTGGAACTGGCTGATGCCTCAACATGATTGTTTCCAAGTACCCTTCCATTAAAGGCATCAACTTTGATTTGCCTCATGTGACACAAAGCGCACCATCTTATCCTGGTATGAACTCATCAAGTTTACATTCCCAAATACCTCATAGAAACCTGCATTTAACTCAGAGTCAATTTGTTTTTTCTCACTTTAACTTGAGATTTTAGACTCTTAATCTCTGCAAGATATGCTATGTGATGCTGGACCAAATGTTTTATTACAATAGCCTGACCAGGCAGGACACATTGCTTGCATTTAAGCAAGTTATTTTTGCATTTTATGGGAATTCTGTACAATTTTTAAAGCACAATGACATCTTAACAGGTATTGAACATGTTGGAGGAGATATGTTTGAAAGTGTCCCAACAGCGGATGCAATTATGATAAAGGTTTGCTTAAAATTAACTATCCGAGATTTGGTTTGCAACAGCCTCATTACTTCAACGCATTGGCTCAAATTCCATTTCTTTTTCCTCGTTGCAGGATACCTGTCACAATTGGAGTGATGAAAATTGTATAAAGCTTTTAAAGAATTGCTACAAAGCGCTACCGGTTAATGGAAAATTGATCATTATAAACGTAATATTACTGGAAGAACCCGATTCAAGCAAGGCTTCTATGTATGTTTCTGGACTGGACAACATTATGTTTATGCAACCTTCAGGAAAAGAGAGGACAGTAAAAGAATTCGAGACCTTGTGCAAGATTGCAGGATTTTCAAACTTTCAGGTTGTCTGTGTTGGTCATGGTGTTCGGGCTGTGATGGAATCTTACAAGTAAATGTTTTCGGTTATAAAGGCAGAGATGAACATGGTATCCATTTGTGCCGTTTGTTTTAATAAATTAATCTTGCAGTGAGTTAGATACGAAGCTATTGACTCTCTCTCTATATCTCATACATAGTATTTTTTATAATAACACCGAATAGGATTATATAATTTATTAGTTCTTCTACTTAATGGAAATGCAGATTACGATCCATGCAGATTTAAGATTACATAACTTCTAATTAATTGCAATACCTCTACATCAAAAGGAGGTTTATGAATTCTAAAAATGGCCTAAATTAAGTCAACCCATCATGTAATACCAAATACAGTTGACAACTCAACATTTTAACACTTTGCAAACTGTTTCATTTCATAGCCTACAAATTCTGGCCTTTGCTTTCAGTGTGTTCACAAGTAATAACAAATTTGAAGAGTAGAGAGCTCCCATGGAAATTATTATTATGGTGAGAAAACTTGTGGTGGTCATGGCAATTCTTCTTATGTTTGTGCTTGATGCTGCAGTAGAAGCTGGAAAGGAGTAATCATTTTTCAGTAGGCGACAACGTCCATCGCCTCCATCTCCTTGACCTCCTCCACTGCATTCCACTTGGAAAAAAGTAAAGTACATGGCAAAGTGTGGTGAAAGAAGGATGGCTTGAAGGGAATTACTTTGCGAAAGTTCACTTTTCACTTTTCAGAATACGTGGATTAACTTGTAGAACCTGTATATGACTTGACCCTTTAACACCAGGTTGATTTAACCCTTTTGTCTTATGCAAAATAATTTATAAAGTGGGATTTACTTCTTTTAAGTTTCGTAAAATTTTGTCCAACAAGTTTAGGTATTTTTCTACTTAAGAATGTATTCACCTACGGCCGATTATATTAATATAAAGAGTTAAAAACTTTTTCCCACCCATATAATGGTTTAATGAATTTTCCCACCCATAAACTTTTAAAATGTCATTTTATTATCCAAATTTATTCTAACAACGAACAGAAAGTAAATTCGGTTCAGGCTGTTGAAACTTTTAAAAAAGGGAGACCGATGAGTCTTTTAGTGATGAAATGTTAGATTTTGGTAGGTAGTTGAAATTGATCGAAATTTGACTTAAGAGAATCGATTGCATAAACCCTAATCACATGATTGTCGACGCTTGTCAGGGTCAACAAGAATAAAGTTTGAGAGGTTTTGGTAAGTAATAATAACAAAAAAAAAAAGAAAAAAAAAGAAATGTGGTGGTATAGGGTTAGAATCGAAAACGGTAAATTTAAGTTCTTCTCAACTGGGTGCCGGATGCCCGTTACTTCTGCATCCTTGACTGTCCCCCTATAATGGTAATCTTAAATTCCTAATGGACTTAAATAACATTTACCCCATATAATTTTTTAAATTTGTTTCTTGAACGAGACCGATATTTTGTTGGACTTGGGCTGATAATAGACCCAAGTCATTGAAACTGTAATGAAAATAGAGGTCCATTAAATTTATAGAAGGCTTATGTTCATGCATTAAGCCCATTGTTTTTAGAAAATCTTTTACCATAGACTGGATTTTAGATAGTGGTCACAGTATTTTCTTCCCTCAGAAGCCGTATTATTATTATTATTATTTTAATTTTGAGTTGTCTTAACGTATGTTGGGAATACATATCTCCGTATAATTTATTTTTTAAAAACAAAAAATAAAAAAACTCAATACATAAATAATTTTTTATCCATTTGTGATGTTGATGCATGTTGTTAAGATCTCATATCGGGATCTCACATTCATTAAGTGGTGTACTTAAGATTAAAGATTATCTCATCGATCAGACCTGTCTTTTGGGTTAGACTCTCCTCTAAACAAATTATCTTCGAACAATATCGATCAAATAAAAGTTATTATGGATCGATTCTTGAAAAGAGATGTAATATTAAGACCCTACATCGAAATCTTACACCTACTAATTATAATATTTAAGAGGCTCTAGTAATCGCACGCTATATTTTCCTTATTGGGATCAGCAACAGAGAGGAAGTTTCTAAGCATTACCCATTAGAATTGTAGAAGTCAAGTCAGGCAACTAATCAACATATTGTCACCATGCCAAATCACCACATGGTCAAACCGTGTAGTCATTAAAACTTGATCTTCACCCTTCATTTCTGACATATCATAATAATCAACGGTCCCAACCACATTGGATGACAACATAGGCCAAGAGTTCTGCTTGCCCAAATTATTGACTTTGGCCTCCGGATCATTGGTATTTTACTTAGCTACAAAGTATCTTATTATATATATATACACAAATGTTCATTAACTCATTCCCCACATTCTCTTCAACCAATTTCTAAATTTTCAATCAACCAATTCTCATTTTAGCACCAATTCTCAACCATGGAAACGGTGAGCTAGCTTCGTTGATTATTTTTATTTTTTATGGCATGATTTTAAAAACTAATTTTATAAGTTTTATATGGTATTTATATATTATTTATCACATTAACTATTCGTTTAAATATCAATGTCACATAAAATAATAAATCAAACTCCAAGGGGTTGGCTTGCCAATTAATTGGTCAATAAGTTTACTCTCTTCCTCGAATTCTTGGTTTCAAACCTTAAGGCTAGCTATCACATTAATATTGTAACTTACTTGGTCTCTAAAGCATGTTGGGGATTAGTTGAGATACGCATAAACTGGTCCGAACATCTCAGTTACCAGAAAAAAAAAAAAAAAAAATGTTTAGTCAAAATGTTTAGTTTGGATTTTGATTATAGACTAATGAGATTTTTTTCTCCTTTGTTTCTGCTAATTGCATGTTGTATATTGGACCTTTGACTTGTTGCAGCCTCTTAAATTTACAATTGAGGTACAAGTAAAACTCTTCTCTGTATTGTAATTCATTGGTCTTTGTAATATTGTATCATTGTCAAACTATTTGACTAACTTTCTTAAAACAATTTCTTCATCTCAGAAAGAATTTATCAACACATCTGAAAGAGTTAAATCTGTTGATCTCCATCCAACTCAACCATGGTATTGTCCCTCGTCTCCGAATTCAAAAACTCTAAGAAGTTTCGTTATATTACTGTGTATGATTAAGTTTAATACTAAAGTTCATTTCATCATAATCTAATGCAGGATCCTGGCAAGTTTGTATTCAGGAACTGTGTGTATCTGGAACTACCATTCTCAGGTATAGAGCATTACATTGTTTGTACCTGCAACAAAATCACATCAATATAACCAATTTCAAGCCTTTCAAGCTGCTTTATTAGGAACTGTCTTTAAGAATTCCTCCCACACAATTGATTTTCAGAGTCATGTAGTTCTTTTCACTGATTTAAATGATAAACATTTCTTGAACTTTCTATTTGTAACCTCATTTGTTTCATGCTATTTCAGACCCTGGAAAAGTCTTTCAAGGTCACTGAGTCACCAGGTACATGACATATATTTTTCTGTAATATAGACATTTGGTTTCTGTATCTTCTTGATGATCAATTTTAGCTATAAATGTTTATATCTTTATAGCTCTCATTTCTTAATAAGATACAAAACTGTGGTTCAATGTGTGCTTGCAGTAAGGACAGCAAAGTTCATAGCCCGAAAAGACTGGTTTGTTTGTGCTTCTGATGACAAATTTATTCACATCTATAACTACAACACCTCGGAAAAGGTTAAAGAATTTGAGGCACATGGAGATTTCATTAGGTGTGTGGCTGTTCATCCCACATTACCATATGTGTTGTCATCGTCCGATGACAAGCTTATTAAGCTTTGGGATTGGGAGAAGAGTTGGGAGTGTACTCAAATCTTTGAAGGACATTCCCATTATGTAATGCAAGTGGCATTTAATCCGAAAGATCTCAACAGTTTTGCAAGTGCCTCACTTGATTGTACCATAAAGGTATACTTGAATATTGCATATACTTTACTGATCACTCATTTTCTTTGTTCTGTAAAACTCTCCTATTTATGCTATGGTATTGTTCCCCTGTTCAGATTTGGAATCTAGACTCATCGGCTGCAAAGTTTTCATGGGATGCACATTCGAAAGGGATAAATTGCGTCGATTACTTCAAAAACAGTGATAAAGCATTTCTCATAACTGGTTCTGATGATTATACTGCTAAGGTTTGAAACATTTTGAAAAACTTGTTCATTAGCCATGACTGGAATATGTTTATGCCGCGAATGAGTCTAGCTGACATTCCTTGATAAATCATGTTTAAATAGGTTTGGAATTATGAAACCAAAAGTTGCGTTCAAACACTAGAAGGCCACACTCACAATGTTACTGCAGTGTGCATCCATCCTGAGCTTCCCATCATAATTACAGTCTCCGAGGATCAGACTGTCCGCTTATGGAATGCTTCTACTTACAGGTACCAGTGTTGTGGTTGATAATTTCTAAATTCCAAGTTAAGATGAAAGAGTAGTCAGCCTAGTTCTTTCTTGCTTTATCTCTTCAAAATTTTTACCTCTGCGAGTGTAATTGTGAATTGGTGATTAATTTTCAGGCTTGAGAATACACTAAACTTTGATCTTGAGCGAGTTTGGGGTGTTGGGTACAAGAAAGGTTCAAACCAGTAAGTTTCTTGCTTTTTTTCCTCAGGACTAAGTTTATATTACACATCATCTGCGTCGTTGAACGAAATGCGATGACGAATTTATCATTTGATTGACTTTTCAAAACAACGAATGACCTGCAATCTGTTACTTCTGTGAGCAGGGTCGCATTTGGGAGTGACAAAGGAACCATTTTGGTCAAAATTATTAGCAGCTGAGGTTGCAATCCTGAGAATTTTATGGCGTGTTTTGAAGAAATAACTCGGTCTATCTTTGAGATGAACAGAAGATCAGAGGGAATAATAGTTTCTAGTAGCCAGTATTTTACTATATTACATGTTAATCTCGCTTTTGTATCACAATTTGCAGTCTTCTGCTCTTGTATTGGACTTGTTAAATCTATCTTTTGTATGATATTCAGTTGAATAAATGGATTTCAGCCACAAAATTTACTCTTCTAATTCATCATGTTGCTGGATAGTCCTGACTTTTGACTAGTATTCTCATTTGACATGGATTGGCAAAAGGTAAAATCAGAACCAATATTCAATTAGTGGTGACAAACAAATGGCCAACCCAAGTTATTCAGGCCCTTCAATCTAATCTCAAATGAACTTAATTTCAAAAGTGGGACTTCAACAAAATGTAAGCACCATCACCTTCGCCTTAACTTGCCGGCCAAAACCCTCACCGCAAATGACCTCGTCGGCCACTGGATCTCCACAAACGACGACCTCTGTCGATCGCGTGCACCTGTCGCACCTCTTGAGAGGCGCGACTTGCACCGACCCACTGCCGCCCATTTTCTCCCCTCCTGAGCCACCATCATTCACCACTGCTGTTGTTTTGCCTTGCTGCGTGTAAACTGGTGGCCGGAATACCCCACATCAACACAACCTCCCCACTCACAACTCGCCCACCAACTGTTCGAAGAAACGCCCCAGCCAGCCTCTCCAACCTTGCACACACCACACCAGTGCCCAACGGCCGCGATCGCCTGTCCCCTCCAGCGTGCGCCCATTCTAGGCGGAGAAGAGGAAGGTTGAAGAAGAGGTATTATTGAAATAAACTTGAAAGTAAGATAGTTATTTTCTAATTCTACTTATTGGAGGGTTAAAAAGTAATTTAATAATTTATCAGTCAAGGTAGTTCGGTAAAAATCATCAAATTTGCGGGTTCGGTAAAATCATCAAATTTGAGGGTTGAAATCCAGAATTTATGAACCATGGGTGAGAACTTGGATATTCGCCAACCCTTTGGTGGGTACATGTCGTTTACGCCTGTTTATATTCTATAAAAGTGTTTTTCAGAAGCAACATTACCAGTACTTTCCACCACTATAAAAAGCAATCTTGTAGCTAGTTTAGTGGCTATCAAAACTTAGCACATCATCTATCTTTTTATTCTTCTTCTTCTTCTTCTTCCTGCAGATTAATTTGAAGATGGAGAGAAGCAAAATTGGGTGTGTTTTGATGATTTGTTTGGTGATGGGGATTCTTGTTGGGGATTCAGCTGGGCAATCTATAGAAACTTTCAAGCGATGTTATGCGATTTGTTTTATAACTTGTGTTCTAACTCCTGGAAATGGCATGTCTACATCTACATGTGCAACTAAGTGTATCATAGACTGCTTGATTCCACACCCTTCTGATTCTCTTAAACTCAAAGACCCGCAATACTTTTGCAAGCTCGGTTGTGCCACCTCCTTGTGCACCAACTTCAGCTCAAAAGAGGAACCAGGTAAAATCTAATCTCGTCTTTCTCTTAACTACATTAGTCGAATGCACATGTATCAGGAAACAATGATGATTTGTTTGTATTGAATTTTTTTTCTTTTTTTTTTCTTTCCAGCTAAAGAGAAGTGGGAGGCTGTGTGAGTTCCTGCTCAAAGACTTGCACCAAGCATTGATTGCTGAGAACAGTATATACCCAAGAAGAGTTACTGTTTATTAATTTGATAAATCGTTGTATCAATTTTGTTGTTAACTGTTGGAAATTAGAAGCCAGGAAATATAGTTCTCAGGCTTCTAATTCCAGAGAGATAAAAGAAGAAGATGAACTCGTGTAAAAGGAGAACAATTTTATTTATTGAATTCAATTAAAACATACATACAACATTTCATTTTAACAGACAACAATTACAAGAAGTTATAAAATAATAAAATTGAAAATAACTTCCATTTGAGTGCACTAATTTTCTTCAGCCGCGTTCATTCCTTGTCGCCATCTTCTCGTATCCTCTACCAAAAGATTCATACATCAACATTAACTTTTCTCAAATTGAATAAATCAAAGTTTGATAATACTTGTTTTCTGCTACCTAGTTTTTGTTTCCCATACAGATTTGTGTTAGCTGAAACTGAATAAAGATACTTTGTTTTATTTGCACGATGGCAACCTGTGAACTGTGAGTCTGTGATCTATCTTAGGTGGCTTCCACTGATGATTTCATCATTTAAAGGGTCACGGGTTAGCATATTACAAATTCCAACCATGGCCTAATCAAAGGGTCCACAAAAACCAGGGGTTTAATTATATGATATTATATTGAATGATAAATTAATTATCAGAATCATTGCAGAATTGCAGAAATTTCGGTCCTTTCCTTCTATACTAGTGATAGTTGGAAGTGAGTCCGTGAATTAGATGGGGACAAAATGATGGCGTATGAGCTTACATTTATGGCTACAAAAAGGAAAGTTTTGTGGTTGAAATTATTTATTGGAACCAACTTGAATGATTTAGCTGTCTTGGATGAGGACTTTAGTTTTAGTCTTTCTTTGGTTACTAACAAGGTATAGTTGTTAGAGCACTTATCCGACAGATAATTTCAAGGTTTCGGAGGATTAGTTGAAGTGCATGTAAGCTAATTCGAACACTCCTAATCATTGGAAAAATAAAAATAAAATAAAAAATATATCTTGAAAGCGATATCAAGAGATGTTCTGGAACATTTACAAGGAATAAAATTGATTAAAATGATTTGTCAATAGTAACAAAATGGAGAAACTTGCTATAATAGGGCAAATATTATAAACAACAAAAAGATAGAAAGCAAAGGATAGAAGATAAATCGAAATAGAGAGGAAAATGGTCAAAGTTTAATATATTAGTTTAATTTTGCACCCGAATGTAACAATAATGAATGGATAACAAATCGATTAAATGTTTAAGTTGTTGATAATACTTTTGTTTTTAAGGATTTTAACTTTAAATAAAATTGATTTCTTTTTCAAGAAAAAACATTATAATTTAATTTTGTCTTGGACAAGCCGATGCCACTTGTCCTTGTTGAATCCAAGCAAATCAGTATCACAATTCCCAATACTAATTTTTGCAGGTAAGTATTTGTTTGTACATGCGTTCGAGCAAGAAGTAAAAATGGGCATCTACTTTATCTATATGGTAGGGACAAATGAAATAGTAGTCAGAAATTAAATATTAACGATAACATAATTTTAAATTAAAATAAAATTTTGTATTTATAAAATTCTTATTAAATAATATATTTATAATTATCATCAATAGGATTTTATCTTTTAAAAGTATTGTATAATAACTTTATTATCAATATTATCAAATACATTTTTTTCTATATAAAAAACTAAGTTGTCAAACCATTGATCACTCGTTTTATTTTACAAACGATTCTTCACAAAATTCATTGTTTAAAATGTTCTCTCTACGCTAAAACAAAAATAATAAGAAAAATGGTATAATTGATAATAAGATACACAATAAGAAAACATAAAAAAAAAAAATGATGGAATAAGCAAAGCCTATATAAAGAAACAAAATTGGGCCCTCTGAAATGTAGAAAGAATTTAGGAGTGGTAATTGTCAAGGACGTAGCTAGGAACTCATTCTAAGGGGGTCAAGATGTTAATTAAACTTAACAATACAATTGTAAATAAACTTATAATTAATAAATAATAAATTAGGTATAAGTTATACAAAAATATAAATATTTATTTATAATGTTTTTTTATAATTAATATATTTATGATTGTATTTGAAGATATGAAATAAATTTATAATACTTTAAGAGTGTAAAACAAAACTAAGAAAATTTACTAATGAATAGGTTATTAAACCAACACAAATAAGAGCACCTCCACATTAAATTATAATAAAATTTCTATTAATAAAATATTCAAATATTTATCTAGCTTTTATAGAAAAATATTATAACTTTTGTTGTAATTTCACTTCCCTTAAAATAATGCATCAAAATACAAATTTTTATATTTTTCTTTTTTTCCTAACTTCAGTATTTTGATATGACCTATTTTTGGGTAGTCTAGATGGTTAGAACGAATTGGGAATAGTGTGGAAAGATACACGGTCTCAAGTTCGATTCTTCGTCTAAGTATCTGCAATTTAAGTGGGGGGCTATGACAGTGAGTTATAAGCTAGCCCTTATTTATGTATGATTTTTTTCAAGTAAGAATTATTGAAACACAAAACAATTGACAGAAGTTTAATTTGACAAATAAATTTTAGAAATGATATTTATTTTATAAATACATGAAAATATATACAAACTTTCTTCATTTTGTTCTTTGTACAATTAAATAACAGATATAAAATTCATTATATAATTTATCAAATGTATTTGTGTGATTTTTTTTGTAAAAACCGAGTATTTAATTTGATGTATTTGATGAATTTAAAAGTTAATTTCATATATATATTTGATAATATTTCAAAGTCAAGTGAGGTCAACTGACCCTCTTTGACCCCCCTCCCTCCGTCCCTGATTGTGTTAATAAAAACATGAAATTCACGAGGAGTAACAGAGTGTGGGGTCCGAATTTATTCGTCAATTCAATGGTTCATAAATGTTGTCATCCTTATTTTCATAATCCTATAAATAAATAAACACAATATCAAATCAAAATCAAATAACAAGTGGTTGTAATGTTAAAATTTGAACGATAATGATTAAGAATTGATATCCAAATCAATCAAATAACAAGTGGTTGTAATGTTAAAATTTGAACGGTAATGATTAAGAATTGATATCCAAATCAACGACCAAATTGGCGGGATCATGAGAAATAACCAGGTGTCTCAAAAGCTTAAATATTATAGATTATAGATTCTGAAAATGGGGCCCCAACCTGCTTTCAATCTCAACCTTATATGAGAGTAAACATAAGATAAGCATATCCACAACCTGTCATTCAATTTATGACTATATGGAAGATACTTGCCACAGAATATGCTTTCAATTTTGATTTATTATTTACCTTTCACATGAACACTAACTTTACCAAATTATTATTAGTAATTTTAAAAAAAAAAAAAAAACTTAAGGCCTCCTTGACCCCCCCTCCCCCTGTCCCTGTTGTAGTGGATATGAATTATACTTCTCTTAGTTTTGACGGATTATCGATTTACTAATATTTGGGTCTAGGTCGGGTTAAATTCAAGTAAACCCAAACAAGGTTATGTTTTCTATTATATACATTTTGTAATAGTAAGAAACCTAAAGTGTGAAAGAATAGAGAATGAGAGTGAATTGTCGTCATCTACTTTGTATTTGTTGCAGATATCTGATACTCAATAACATTCTCTATTTAAATGTTGGATGTAGTTTCTTTATTGGAACAAACCTGGGTAAGTCATGTATTCTCTTTACTTTTCTGTTTTTCTTTGTTGTGGGTTTTTTGCTGTGGTTTCAACAATCTAAACAACAAAACAAATTAAGATTAATAACATGATAATGATAAAATATCAAGAGAATTCAAGAGTTTTGAAGGATTTACGAGCAATAAGTAGGAATGGGATTGTGGTAGACACAGAAGCAATCATACAAACAACCCAAGCCCCCATGCAACGACGAATGGACTTCACAAGGGCTGTGATTTGCTCTGCCAGAATCCCTAACACCAACAAACAAGCGAGTATCAGTGCAATAACCTCTCTTTGCTTCATCTTCTTCATTGGTTTGTGTAATTTCTTCTTGTTGTGGAGTTGTAAGTCTTTTAAGGTTTTATGTATAGTCTTCGTATTTGGGCATTTTTATTTAGTAGTGGTATGCTATAAATGGAAATAGTACCTGGACATGTATTATACAGATCTTATTACAAAAGAAATTTAGTAGTACAAATTTATATTGAAACCTTAATTCTATATCATCCATATGCCAATAGGGCATTGGTGTTTTGTATCTAAAATCCTAATTAGTATTAAGTGATTTTCATTTATCTCTACCAATTCTCCTCGTAAAACACATAATAGATCATGTATATGACTAACAAGAGTGTCTAACAAAGATAAAGTTGAATAAAATCATCGGACATGATAATTGGTGTTTTAATAAAAATATATTTCCGTAAAATATAACTTGAAAGGCTTCTAAGTCATTTGACCTAAAAACTTAAGCTTTTAGGTAAGAATCCAATGTTAATATTTAAGTCTAGTAAACTCCTCGTTGATATGTAAATCCCTAATTAATTTCAGTCTTGGCATTTCCATGCTTTCATTTAATTCAATATCCATTCATGATTCATTGATAATACTCAAATTTGGTAATTGTAAATTGTGACGTAGTGGAAGATTGTCGGGTCGGGTCGGGTCAATACTCAACTTGATGCCTTGTTTTTATATATAAATAAAACGTTAAAGATTAATTTAATTAAGTTGCTAAAAGTTATTAGTCATCTCAAAAACAACCTTTAAGTCACTTAATGTGTTTTAAAAAACATTCAGCTTAAAAAAAAATATCCATACAAGAAACTCTTCTGGGCTGTATACTCCCATCATCATCATCATATTTATTCTTAAAAACGTTTTTGGTTAAAAGTAAATGGTTTCTTTATACTATATAATAGTGTATTTCAGAAACAACAGTATGAGTACTATTCACCATTATATAAAGCAATCTTGTAGGCAGCTTAGTTGCTATCAAAACTTAGCTTGTCATCTATCTTCTTCTTCTTCTTCTTGCAGAAAAATAATTAGAAGATGGAGAGAAGCAAATTTGGGGGTGTTCTGATGATTTGTTTGGTGATGGGGGTTCTTGTTGGGGATTCAGCTGGGCAATCTACACAACCTTTTACGCAATGTTTTGCGGTGTGTTTCGTAAGTTGTGTTTTAACTCCTGGAAATGACGTGTCTACATGTGCAACTAAGTGCATCACCAGCTGCCTCTTTCCTGGCCCTTCTAAATCTCTTAAACTCAAAGACCCACAATACTTTTGCAAGCTTGGCTGTGCCACCTCCTTGTGCTCCAACTTCAGCACAAAGGACGACCCAGGTAAAATCTAATCTCACCTTTCTTGTGAATCAGATGTATATGCATCCAACCAATAATAAATTATCATGTCAATGTGCGTGAAATAAATATACTTTATAATTGGTCGAATGCACATGTATCAGGAAACAATTACGATTTGTTTGTATTGATTTTTTCATTTTCCTTTTCTCTTTTTCAGCTAAAGAGAAAGTGGGAAGCTGTGTGAGTTCCTGCTCAAACACTTGCATCAAGAAATATTGATTGCTGAGAACACAATATACCCAAGAAGAGTTATAGTTTATTATTAGTTTGATAAAATCTTTGTATCAATTGTGTTGTTAACTTGAATAAATTAAAGTTTGCTAATACTTGTTTTCTGCTAATTAGTTTTTGTTTCCCATACAGATTTGTGTTAGCTGAAACTGACTAAAGATACTTTGTTTTATTTGCTTAATGGCAACCTGTGAACTGTGATCTGTCTTCGATTTCATTATTTAAAGGGTCACGGGTTAGCCATAGCAAAAATTCAAACCATAGCCTAATCAAAATGCTTTAATAATGATATTATATTGAGTGATAATGAATGACCAGAATCATTGCAATAATTTAGGGTCTTTTCCTCTTTTCTGTGAGTTGGAAGCAGCCGTGAACTAGTTTGGGACAAAATGATGTCGTATGAGTACTTTTTGGAAAAAATGATGGCCTATGATAATTTTGTGGGTGAAATACTCGTTGAAACCAAGCTCTGGCCAGAATTTTTTTTGTTTTTTTTTTTTTTTTTTTTTTTTTTTTTTTTTTTTTTGAGATGATGAAAATGTTGGAACAAGTTTTCGCAAACCTTAACTAATCTAGCAAATGGGGTAAATCTTTTTCAAACAAAACTGACATTCTTTTGTCCTGAATTGCCCGTGAAATGGAATCCAGAACCTTTTTAGAGCCACTTGTTGGAACCGGTTGACTAGATGTGAGTGGAAGCAAAATTTGGAAGGAGAGATGGAGGATAAGACACTTAGCAGGCTACAAGGCAATTTTCTATTCAAATTTGGATCAAATCTTACAGCTAATTTCAAGATTTTGAGCAATTGAATTACCAATTTCCCAGAATAACACAACATTCCTTATATTTATCGAAATTTTTAATCAAAAGCCACAAGTTTTACTCAAACAGCTGCAAAAATAATCACCCACATAAAAAATGTGTCAATATCCCTCAGCTGGTGGGCAGTTGATATACCCAACTAGAAAATGTATTCTCAATGAATCCAATTGATGGATATATTAAAAAATGGACATTCAGTTACAGTATTCATTTATTCATCAAACAAAAGCCAATGTATTTAGACAATAACATGTTACTTATGGACTAAAACAATGAACCCACATGTTTAACCTGAGATGCATCAAGATTAATAACAAAACATCAAACTGCAAAACAAACCACCTGTGAACTTCTCAACTGATAACAAATCTATTAGAATATGTGGATATAACTAATATAATAATATATTTTTTAGGAACCAAGAGAGAACAGTTAAATTATTGGATAAGACCTGGCAAATACTAAACATGCAACATGGCATTCAATGTGTAAATTCAGCTCAAGGGAACAACTATAGAACTGTCCACCATTCCATGTCATTGTAGGTTTAAAATTATGCAGATTAAACCAAAGATGTACCCAAAAAAGAGTTGAAAAATACTCTCCCGCAGACTAGACTTACTTTAAACAACAACAAAAAAGATTGGACTCTGTTAACTCTTTGCTACATAAGGTTTTAGGAATAACCAGAATCTGAACATGATTCCTTTGCTCCACGAAAGAAAGAGGACAGCTGCCAAGAGCGATGGGATGATCCCAAGCTAATTCTGTGTGTCAAAGTAAGGCTGCTTTCAATCATCTGATGCTTTGGGGGAATTTTCTGGTGTTTTCAAAACCGCTGTTGGTGTTTTTCCTTTATGTGCCGTAACAGCAGCCCGAAACTCTTCCACAATGGAACCATCCTTGAACTTCAAGGCGAATGTCGAAAGATTATCCTTCCCTTCACCAGCACTATTTATGCAGGCAAAAGTGATGCCTTTTTTTTCCATATTTGTGAGCTTCATATCAGGATAGAGGCTTGCATTCAAGATCAACCTGTAATTTCCCCTGGTTCTCATAAGAAGCCTAGCTCTTCCTGCCACAGTTGTTGATATATTCACCTTAATTTCTCCCTTCCCACGCTCCTTCCATGCTCCATCAAAAAACTCAAAAAGCACTGAATCAGCAGAGAAAACCACAGTCTCATTCTCTTCTCCTGTCTCAACAACAACTTCCTGCATAGATGGGAAGCCAGCTCCCTCACTCTTTGAAACAATAGAAGCCCCAGATGTGTTAAAGAGAGAAGAATTTCCATTGTTAAGTTGTCCAAAAACAGAACTAGAGCCAGAACTTAATGCAGATCCATCCTTCGGAATTGACCCAAAGGAGAATGTTGAAGTGGAAAACCCAGTTCCAGCAAGTCCTGTGAAGGCATTTTGACTACTTGAAAGCTGCCCAAATGAACTGAGTGAACCTGAATCTGCTTTTTCACGACTGATATCTTTCTCATCTTCATTCTCAGTCTTCTCTGCACCAGCTGCCTTTCCATTATCAACCTCGGATTTGCCTGCCTCACTGACAATAGCCCCTTCCTGCTTAGCCTCAGTACTCTCCTTGTCAGCAGCAGCCTCAGATGATTGCTCATCAATCTTGCTTTCTGACTGCTCAGTACTCTCATCTTTACCCTTTTCAGCTTCATCAGCAGCAGATGCTTCAGACACTGGCTCATCAATCTTGCTCTCAGACTGCTTACTACTCTCATCTTTACCCTTTTGAGCTTCATTAGCAACAGATGCTTCAGCCACTGGCTCATCAATCTTGCTCTCAGACGGCTTACTGCTCTCTTCATCCCCCTTCTCAATTTCATTATCAGCATCATTTTTGCCGCCATCTGAAACCTTCTTCTCACTAGAAGTTGGCACTCCAGTTGTCACAGCAGTAGCAGTTGCACTAGGATCATTCGGGGGGATCAACTTGATAGCAGAAAAAGGATTGGATGAGGAAGTAGACGTGGTACTACGACGAACTTTGACTATTCTTCTATTTGCCAGCACATCATCACTGGCCCTCTTGAAAGTTCCACTTTCTTGTTCAGCGTCTTCCTCATCATCAAGACCAGGGTTATCTCGAGAGAGTTCCCTACCTGCAGCCCTCTTCTTTGAAGGAGGTAGGTTTTCTGCATCCCCCATTGAAGATTTGGACCAATGAAAAAAACTTTGGAATTTGTGCCAATAAGCAGGTATGAACAGTTATATCTGCAGATTATCATAAAGGATTTTTCAAAAAAAGAAATAAGAAGAAGGACATCATTATCAAGCAGAATTGTTAGTACAAAGTCGGATATTTAACAATTGGCTAAAAACATAAATAAGGGGACAGGTAAACTTGAACATGCAAAAAGAGAAAAGGCAACATTCAACAATTAAATCCAAAAGGAAACTCATGGACATGCTTCCAATGACTACGCAAAAAGCTTAAAATAAGATGGAGAGAGTGGGCACATAAATTGTCTAAAAGCATGGCTATCCACACAAGATAGCATTTATTTAAGTCAACAAAAACTGTTTAAATAGATCTTCTGCAAATAGTTGTCTCCCTAGTATGGTGCTACAGCAGCCCTCACAAAGAGTTACATGAGAATAACACAGAACCATCTAGTCCATAGGAATAAAAGAAAGGACAGAACTATGAGTATGAACCCCATCAATTAGATCAGCCTACTCTGTTTTCATATATCAGCGCTCAAGTAACAGAAAAGTTCAACAAAAATTTAATTGAATGGCATCTAACAAAGCAAAGTTAAAGGAAAATTCAAAAACTAGCTTCCATAACTAAAATGTAATTGTGAGCAGCTTTCAATTGAAAAGAGATATCAAGCTTCAGGAATTCAGTGCAAGCTTTTCACTGATAACTAACAAGATTTTGTATAAAGTGAAACACTAATGAAATGCAACTTAACTTCATGACCCCTAACTAGTTACCTAATATTTCTACCACTGAAAGCAAAAATGATTCAGCAGATATAGAAAAGTTTTTTAACTGGAAAGCTATCAAGCTTACTCAAGCCTTATTTTCAAATTCCTCTACCTTTTGATCTAAATAACTTAAAAGGACAAGAAAGATACAGCTAATAAATATCTGAATACAACATTTGAAAGTTAATCTAATGCTCCAGAACCAAGACATGCATCATTTATCAATGCACCATCCATGAGCAACTCATTCAAATCACTAGCGAATTACATAAACTTCACATAATCTTCCTCCTATCAATATGCAGGCACCAATCATTACCTACCACATTACGGGAGCAGTATTGCAAGCAGCAATGAAACCACACCCGAGCATTTAAAAACACACAATAAACCTCAGATATCCAAACTGGAAAATGTCTAATTAATGCCTCCTGTACAGCTCACAATAATAAATCATAAAACAGATTTATAAATTCTGCACTCCAGCACAATAATAGAACATTATGAGCATCATCATAAAAACAATATATCGGCTGAAAACTCTTGGACCACAAACTCCATTCCCACCAACATAAGTTAGTAAATAAAACTGATAGAATAATGGCAAGTAAACACACCGCTACAGTGCCATTTTCCTCAAGTATTCTCTTTCAAAATTTGAAACCTAATTCTACTTCGGCGAATTACTAGGTTCACAAAAATTATTCCATAGCACAGAATGGTGGCCAACTTGAAAAAGTAACATTATAATCAAAATGGAATATAAGAAAGATGCAGTCAAAAAATGAAGCTCAACTTTAGACAACAATCTGTCCTTTAAAACAAAAGGTAGCCAGGTGGCCAACTTGCGTAGGATGGCCGATGCAAAATAAACACAGTTAACACATCCGAATAAATGACTAAATAAACAATATCACAAAGCTAATTACCTAAGCCACAAAGCTTAAATTAAACACAAGAATCTTTTAACTGCCTTGGAAACCCTAGAAATCCTCATAGTAATTTTGTAACCAGGGCAATACAGAACAAAAATACATCTATCAATAACTATATCAGAAAAACATCAATTGGCTTCTTCAGTGAAAAGCTGGAAAAAAGTTAAATAAGTGAAACTTAGATATTTTTATAAATCTTGGCTATAATTTAATATTTAAAAAAAAATCTGAAATTTGACGAACTGGGTCATCGAGAACAGCAACATTCACACAATTAAAACCAAAAAGCAAACTCATGCATAAGTTTCAAATGAATACAGGAAAAGCTTAAAATCAGACGGAAAGAGTGTGAAAGAAAACAACTGAAAAGAAATCAAGAAGTGTGTAAAGAAATGAGAACCCATTAATGAAAAACAATGAAGAAGTAAAGAAATGAAGTGAAATTAGATTGGGACTTACCTGAAAGGAAAACGTAGCAGAAGCAAAACCCTAAAGAGAGAGAGGAAGAGAGAGATAAAAAAGTGAGAAAGGGAGATCCGATAATAAGAGGGTTTTTATTTATTGTTTGTTTGTTTGTATTATTAAGGAACTTACTTTTCTGAATTTTTTTTATTTTTTATTTTTGGGTTTTGGATATGGAAGGAAGAGTTGGCTTTGAGTGCTCCAGTTGTGCTTCCTTTTCCTTGCGGGAGAGGAGGCTATAACCTATAAGTATAACGCAAATAATGACGTTGAACAAAGGACCTTTTGACCAGATTTTGACACGTGCCTTTTCTGTTCAGTGACACTTGTTTAATTATTCGACTGGGGTTTGGGCCCGTTTGGCTTTGGTTAAGTTGGCACTTGGCACTACAAATTGAGTGATCTAATTCAACTTCAACTCTTCCATTTCTAAGTTTCTATTGAAGTAGATGTTTCTAGAAATGTTTGGAACGTATTTGAAAATTTTCACAGCCATGAGTTACCAGAGTCTGGTGTCTAGAACTCTAGATACAAGCAAAGCTGCAAAAAAATTTGCCCCAAAGTGGTGGAACCTTAACACGAATCCACGGTTCAATGTTTTCGCAATAAATAGTACGATTAAAAACAGATCTATTTCCTCAACGTAGGTCTACCAAGACATTATTATTTTTCATGCTGATGTTTGGATCCAATTGTGACAAAATAAACGTTGATTTTTTTTTATTTTTTTTTAATGAAAGTAAATGCTAATAAATCATTTGTAAACATACAACATCGCACAACAGCTATGAGAAAATTATGTATATAATAAAACATACAACATCACACAACAGCTATGAGAAAATTATGTATATGATACTTCTCAAGACATGTTACAATTCAAGTTTCATCTGAAAAAATCCCCAAAGCAAAACCAGATATTTAGCGGAACCGCATATCTAAATATGAATAAGTGAATATGGGTTTGAGTTGGGTAATGGTCACTAAATTTTTTTTTCTACATTCACAAAGGCACTAGAAAATTTTAAGGGGTGAAAAAGGCCTCAAAAAGAATATGCTAAAACAACAATTATGGAAGCAATAAAAATCGTAACTGATTCTATAACTGTATACTATGCGCCCATGACAAAACTCAATGCGCTACAGGGCCACACCACCGGAATTTGAGACAACCAGCTCTACAATCACCTCTCTCCAGCCTCCAGCAAGAAGCCTGGTAGCTGAAAATTCGGATACACATAAGTAAACAAGCAAGTAAAAAGAGATTTCATTCTGTAAAACAAGACTTTATCAATATAATGATGAATCAATTGTGTCAAATGAAATGCTGCTCATTACAGATTCAACAGATACGTAAAATGGCCAATGGCACAAAAGAAAACCAACCAAAACACTCCACAAGGGGATATTTGTTCAATGCATAAACTATTCCCAGAAAGAATTACGAACAAGAATGCAGTTTCAGGAAGATGACATGTCATCTGGTAGATCAAACTCAAAACATCTTCACAAAGAGTTGTACCCATGTTTCAGTTCTTCGGTTATTTTTCCTACTAGTAGGCAATGGCCACATGCACTTCGTAGACCTATTTAACATCTCCGCTCAAATCTATCAAAATTTATGTAAATTGTTAATCACCTTAAGTAAGGGACTTATATAGCTGGAGCCAACCATCTTCAGAGATCCTGGTGACGTGGTGTAAGCACTGCACACAGAAAAGGAGAAAAAAAAATAAAAAAACTTAATGACCAAAGATATTATAAACCCACCAAACTGCATATGATAACAAAAGAGGAAAAAGAAATACTAATTTTCAGACTAGATCACATGATAGAATTTAGGGTGTCAAATATCATATAAATTGACATCTATGCTACATAATTAAGAGGGGTAGTAAAAGAGCGAGGAGAATAAGAAGTCCACAAAAGACCGACTAGAGATTTCAAANTACTAGTAGGCAATGGCCACATGCACTTCGTAGACCTATTTAACATCTCCGCTCAAATCTATCAAAATTTATGTAAACTGTTAATCACCTTAAGTAAGGGACTTATATAGCTGGAGCCAACCATCTTCAGAGATCCTGGTGACGTGGTGTAAGCACTGCACACAGAAAAGGAGAAAAAAAAATAAAAAAGTTAATGACCAAAGATATTATAAACCCACCAAACTGCATATGATAACAAAAGAGGAAAAAGAAATACTTATTTTCAGACTAGATCACATGATAGAATTTAGGGTGTCAAATATCATATAAATTGACATCTATGCTACATAATTAAGAGGGGTAGTAAAAGAGCGAGGAGAATAAGAAGTCCACAAAAGACCGACTAGAGATTTCAAAGTCGTATGCTAATGACTAAAAGTCTGTAGAAAATTCCATGAGTTATGAGAAGATTGGAAATTTACTGCCATAAAACTTCAATTTTCATTACCCAATAGCACAAGGTTAACATGGTCTTGCAAGTTATACCAAAAAAAAAAAAAAAAAAAAAAAGAATTGCTAGCAAGCGGAGAAAATAGGATTACAAACTATCAAGTTCAGGGCACATTTAGCAGCATAAGCTAATCATCATAACGTCAATGCAGTCATAACAAGTCACACAGAAACTAGTCACTTTGATAGAACCCAACACAAATGAACTAATATTGAGGATTCCTATGGTCATTTCTAATAGAAGAGCCAGTACTAATAGTGTCAAATTATAGACATAAAGTAGTAGTTGCACCAAAAACAATTTGTGAAATGGGAGTTAGAGATGGCACTTTAGAATCAATTAATCACCAGAGACAAAATTTGGATTTTCACACTGCCTCAACCAATTGCTTTTAGGCTGACGGGGTTCCCTCATTATTCGTACCCCACTCTTCTTCAGCCTCGTTACCATTAACGAGTACAGCACCATCTGTAGAATCAGCATCCACCACGACAGCCTCCTCTTGGCTTTCTTCTTCTCCATTCTGCTCCTCAGCATTCTTTTCTCCATTTTGTTCAGTCTCCTGTAAAGAGATAATATTAGTGAAATAAATTCTTCTGGCAAAAATAACAACTCTTGTTCACTAAATTTAAAGTAAACCAGAAACCAATCGAGTTTCATCTAAATTTAGAATTCAATACATAAAAGGATAAGCGTCACCAATCCTGTGGCTTTTCTGTAATAAATATTTGCCAAGTATACCTCATGATCGAAGTCTCCATTTTCAAGAGTTTCCTCTTCTTCAATTTGCATGTTTCTGAAAGCCTCCACAAGGGTTATGTGTGATTTATCAACATGGTTTACATAGTCCTCGGCAGGAGGATACACACCCCTAGAAAGCAATTGAAAGAGCAATTATGAGCATATCAAAGGACCACTCATACAAAACTCTAAACCACCAAATTATGATCTTAGCAGGTAAGATGTAGAATGTTGTAAGACTTTTATAGGCAAACAACAAAAATTGTAAATGGAAAATCATGACCAGCTAAATGATTTCAAACTCGAACTAATTTGATTGAAGTCACAAATATAGGTACAGTCTATATGTTTGTTTAGTGAAAAATTGACAAACATAAAAACAAACCAGATGCACACGGAGAGACAGAAACCTCATATTTAGTACCTTGTCTCGGCAACTTTAGATTCCACAGAAAGAGCAACTTGCCAATCCTCAAACAAGTTAGGATACTCTTCAGGATCGGCCAAAGATTCAGCAGCTTTTGGATTAACCTGTAGGTGGCATAAGATGAGCTAAAATTTTCCACAAAGTCAAACATTTCATTCCAGAACCTTCTAAAAGATATCCCAAATGATGACTGTTAAAGGAAATAGTGTACAAAAATCGAACACTGACAGTTCATTACTACCAATTAAAAAACAAGATTATAGAAAATTAGGCAGAAAATAAGAGATTACAATGAATGTAGTAGAAAATGGAAAGAGAAAAAACCATGCATCCCAGAGGTAGTTCATCAAGAATACAACTTAATACTTGTACCATGAACACAAGGATTATGAAATTTCTTCTATTAATTGTTGCAACTTATCATGTTTAGGATGTAACAACTAGCCAACTTCATCCTAAATCAAAATTATGATAAAGCAGAAACAAATACAGAAACTATGTAACGACAAGTAACCTTATGCAGGTCTTTCCTCCAAATAGCGACAATCTCTGAAACCTTGCTTGGAAGGTATGATCGTGCCATCAAAGCAGCCTCAGGTATCCGATTGCTGCAAAAGAACACTTCAGTATATCTAAAACAATAAATTTCTAAACCTATTTTGTCATGTCCAAACATTCGAAAGAAAATTACCTTTCCACCAACAGCTGGAGGCAGTCTTCCAATTTACCCAACATGAATAAACAAAGGAAAGCAACATTGTTCTTCCCTTGCTCTTTTGCAAGGGAAGCAAGTTTTGATATCCCTTCAGCATCTCCTATGGAAGAGTAGAGCAGCAATAAACCACTCAAATCCATTGCATATTTCATACATTCCTCAGCCATTTCTAACTGCAACACCAGAACTCAAAGTAAAAATTTATGATGGTGATTTGAAGTAAATAAACAAAAGTAAAAATTTACACCATACAGGATAACTCAGAAAAAGGAGAATAGTTCCACAAAATATAAAGATCTAGATAAAATGAAAACACCTTTCCAGTAGACATAGCTAATTCTCCCAATTGCTTCCATTTAGACTCACTCTGCACCTCTTTAGCAATATCCTGCAAGAAAGGGGAGAAAAAATCATGCATTAGGAGAGGAAGTTGCTGATGGTGAAAATCACCATTTGAAAGGAAGTAATAAAGATATAAATGCTAAAGTAAACAAAAAGTCTCAAATTATATGCCTCCAACATAATATATACACTTACCTGTGCAACCTCCAATCTACCAAGCTGAATAGCTAGCTCAAATCTATAATCAGGATCAGTAGCCACTTCCAAAGCTTCCTCTATCATTCCACGTGACTCCAAGAAACGAGCCACACTAATAATGAAAAGGAATTATTTATTAAAACAAAAGAAACATTCAGGAACTAAACTTCATACTCTAAGTGACAAGTAAAACCATGCTACAGAATCCTTTATAATTTTCATTGAAGGCAACATTAAAAAAATGCTGCTACTTCTTTGTTAATTATGCAGAAATAAAATAGGCACAGGCCTATGCCATAACAAGGAAAAAAAAAAACAGTTATTTCAGCCAAGTGTTAAACATATTTAAATCATCCTTTAAAACCAAAAGAAAATCTTAATTGTTTTACTGTCATTTTACATTGTTGAAGATTATATCTACCTGTTATGATGCTCTTTTGGAATTGAAGGTAATATTTCATTAGCTCTATCCAAATCTCCACGCATCACAAGAGTCTTGTACTCAATCAAGCTCAGAAGCAGTGTGTATCCCATAACACTGCGTCAAAAGACAGATCAAAAATCTTTAATAATGAAAAATGATATCATAGTGCTTCTAGACTAACAAACAAAACAAAAACTCTTACTTGAACTCCTTGTCTATTAGATACACACGGCTTTGACTAGCAAGGTATCCCAACAAGTACATAGGGCGGTCCAAATGAAACATTGTGGTTACCTAAAATGATAAAATAGATTATCAAAATTACTCAATCATATTCCTAAACACAGGTACCACTGTCATAAAAAGCATAACAAAAACAAGAACTTTCCAACATACCTCACCACCAACACAGTAATTAAGTCTCCACGAAGAATTGTTATAAATGAAACAATCCCCAACCCATATACCAGTCCTGACACGTTCATTGGTTTCATGGAGAAGCTCAAAGGCATCCTCAACACCTTGTTCGTCAACTGATCTTCCACTGTCTAAATGAGATAAAACTACATCCCGCTGCAAAATAAATACAGAATTCAAATACAAAGCATATTAAACCACATGAGAATAATCAATTGGCGCCCAAAAGATTTATGAATCAAATAAAGGAATTGTATTGTTATAAATCCTTACATTGTACTTCAGGATGTAGAATGACGAATCACTAGCAATTGCCACTAAATCACCGCTATCAGCCCAATAAAGATTCTGAAATGTTTCGAAAGAATAACATTGATGATATAAAGCAAGGGTAGCTGGAAATTGTACAAATGGAAGCACTCTATTATGGGAAAATTAACACTTACTTTCACAGTAACATCAATCCGCCGAATCAACCTGCACTCAGCCCAATCATAAAAGCAGATAAAATCATTTGAGCACATTGCCAACAATGTACCTCCATAAATATGTTCAGCTGAGAAGGTTGGTCTGATACTCTTTTTCTCCTGAAATCAGTCATGCCTTCATCATATTGCCAATCACACACTCCAAATAGGATATTAAATAGAATAATTAAACATCATAATTAAGACTAAGCTAATGATTCATTTGAGCGTTATAAGTTTTCCCTCTAAAACAAATAAACCCCGACATGCCATTCTCCTCTTTCCTCCAGCCACACACTAGAAAAGATGAAAGAAGTACAAACTCCCCAGAAGTAAAAACTATCAATTGCTTCCAGTATAAAGAACAGTATGCATTTTCTACAAAAGAGCAACAAACCTGAAAATTTTTACTGAAAATCTTAATCTTTGACGAGCTTTCTCTAACAGCATATTCTCCATCAGATGACCAAACGAACTCCAGTGCTGAGCCAAAGGACCTATTTCTCCATGCCAAAGCAGTATATATAATGTACTCGCCATCTCCACAGACAACAACAAACCTCCCATTCGGATTGTGCTTTAAGCTCTGCAAAAGCACACAGATTGAGGAAGAGTTTTTAAAGGCATAAATAAAACCTAACTGCAAATCAATACACCCTAATCAAAAAACAAAGACAACCATGAGAAACAGTAATTAGCACAGAACAGATTTTCACATCATATTCTTTGGGGTCTTTAAGAAATATATTATATATTTTTTCTTTCTACCTCTAACCATCTGTTAATAACTTCGCATAATTGTAGCCATTCTCTTTTATTAGCACAATAGACAACAATCAATCATCCAGAACGATATGCAGCAAATTTACATGGGTTATCATACACATAAAACCTACTTCAACAGGAATTTTGGTAATGCTACTGACTACTAAATACTGCTATATACATAAGCGTATTTAAAATAAGAGCACAAAAAAGTTTAAAAAAACAGAAAAATAGGCAATGTGCTAAGTGAGCACAAAATAAGTACGAAAATCACTTTTTATACATGGAGAATGAGTTATGCAAATTCATACATTTCCAAGGAAACAGTATTTGCTAATAATCAACATAAAGACTGTTTCATCTACATAAATGACTGAAGCCCCCCCCAAAAAAAATATATGTTTGGAACGGGACGTCTAAATATGCATCTATGCATGTCCTTCCTATGTCCTAATTACATGACAGAGGCATGGTGAGATCAGGAAGCAGAGAAAAGACAGCAAATTCATCTCATGGAATATATATGAGGGCAAAAAAATGTTGACTCACTTGTGGGTAAAGATCACAGGTTCCCAACTCCTTAACAGCCAAAGGCAATCTTTCTCCATCAGTTACCTAAGAAGCAAGTGAAACCAATAACTTACTATCAGCTGATGTAAAATTATGACTTGCACAAAGGTAGCAGACGGTGTAACCCAAACCTCAAAATCAGCCCCCACACTCTTGATGTTCACAGTTTGAATTTCATTATGCTTGGCCCATATGATCTTTCCACTATTATCCATACTAGCTACAGGTTCTTCGCGGCCAATTTTCACCATAATAGTTCCTTCATCATAACCAATCACAACTCTGTCCAACAAAAATGAATACTAACAATGTCATGATCTAAAAAGAAGGTGATATTTTTGCATCCACAGAAACTTTGTGACTCCAGAAGAAGAATACGAAAATCTAAACATTCTACAATGAGAGTGCCATGATTTTATTAAACCACTAGAAAATATTTTACAATGTCTAGGGGTAAATATCTCCCAGAGGATCCAAACATACAAGACTAACAGCAGGATGATTAGAAAAGAAAGAAAAGAAGATGAAGAAGAAGAAAAATCATGAAGAACTCACCTGCGTGAACCTTTCATATATCCAACGGCCCAAACTCTTTCAAGACCATAATTCAATGTGTTCTCAAGCCTACAAGTCAATTAAATCAGTTTACAAAGGGTAAGCAGAACTCCATTGGCTCAATCAGATACAACTAACATTCAAAATTAGCAATGATTACAATACAAAAGAAACTAAAGGATCATACAGAACAGGTAGAAATTAAAAAGAAACTAAAAACAGAAACGAGATAGAGAAATCAAACTTTGCATTTAAAAATTTAATAGTTAAATCTCATTTGAGAAAGAAAAACTACTAGGAGATAAAAGGGCCAAGAACTCTTAATCAGCTCAAAATCCTTGAAAATAAGACACTAACTCAATAGTTACCTATAAGTAGTTGCATGCCAAATGCGTACTGTCCCATCCTCAGAACCTGTGATGATAATAGGAAGCTCAGGATGAAAACATACTGCAGAGACATTGTGAGTGTGGCCTTCAAGCGTCTGGACACAACTTTTGGTTTGATAATCCCACACCTGCTTTCTTATAATACGTTAATTATCGATTCTTGATCAACAAAAATGAACAATCAACTTTGTGAAACAAAATGAAAAACTAGAGTCAGACCTTGGCGGTATGATCATCTGAACCAGTGATCAGATAAGGTTTATCACCACCAGTAAAATAATCAACACAATTTACTCCTTTCTGATGGGCATCCAAGGTAAAATTTGGGTCTGGGGAACCAAGGTTCCAAATCTGGAAGTTACCACATAAACAGTGCAGTTTCAGCATGGCTGTATCTCATGAATCAACAATTGCATCAATAAAACCAATGAAAATCACCTATATACCTTTATGGTGCGATCAAGAGATGCACTGGCAAAAGTATTGGTGTCTTTCGGATTAAATGTTACTTGCATAACATAGTGAGAATGTCCCTCAAATATCTGAGTACACATCCAACCCTTCTCCCAGTCCCATAGTTTTATGAGCATATCATCAGATGATGACAGCACATACGGAAGGGTTGGATGGACAGCAACGCACCTAATGTAATCCGTATGTGCTTCAAATACTTTAACTTTGTCCATTGTATTGTAATTGTATACACGAATAAACATGTCATCAGCTCCAGCAACAACCCATTGCTTGCGTGCTACAAACTTTGCTGACCTAACTGTATTTGCATTATTTAGGCATCAGAGGACAGCCGTGACCTCATTGAGGAAAAAGAAGAGGAGGAAGAAGAAAAAACATAAAACTAACTTATAGAGTACATATCTAGAGTATACCTGGCAACTCAGTGACCTCAAATGACTTAGCCATAGTCTGTAGCAATAGCAAAAAGATTTAGATTATCTCTGAATACTAGGAAAAAACCTCTTAATAACTAAACAAAACTCAAAATCAAAGGTTTAATGTTAAATCCAAGATTGGTTCACAAAGAGAGATAAATTAAAAACAAATGAAAAACTAAAAAATTCATAAGAGGCTTAGATGCATTATATAACCAAGCGGCAGCAATCTACCATACAATGCTAGAAGCACTCAAAATAACACAACGAGTAGCATTTTCATACCTGAGACTGGTAGTTCCAAATACACACAGTTCCAGAATACAAACTCGCTAGAATCCTGAAGTAACAATCATATAAGTTATGTTAATCTCCATGCACTACCACATAATGCTACAAATGTCAAACAATTCAAACATTACATAAATAAAGATTATAGTTACCATGGTTCAGTTGGATGTAAATCCACAGACTTAACTCTCTCTGATCTTTGAGCAAGTTTTCTCTGATCCAATTATCATTTTAACATAATTATTCCCACAATTTCGTAAAAAGTTGAAACGGACTATTAAATAAATAAATAAATGCAAGAGAGAGATCTAAACTGAAAAAGAAAGACAGTACCTTGATTTCAAGTCTGAGCGGCTGTTAACATACAACAAAACCAAACAAAAAATCAGTACCAAATCAACTAATTCATGCTACTAAACTTCTAATTCAATAGCTCATAAAAAAAGGTCAAGCCTAAAACCAGTTGCCATATTCCTAAACTGACCCTCACTTTCCACCGTTCTCTCGGCAGCCAAACACAGGCACAAACCAACAGATCCAATTAAACACCGGATCTCAAGTCTCAACTCAATTCAAACCCCCAACCTCCCATTCAATTGCCAGCTAACAGTTACAAAATCCAAAACACAAAACACCATCCAATTCCTTAACAAGTGACCAAAATTTATACAATTAAACAAGAAATGAGAGTATTAGAACAAAGCATCTGAATAATACAAACCACTCAGCATTCATCCAATTGCTTAAAAGCCTAAAACCAGCTACAATATTGACAAACTTCCTTTCACTTTCCTTGACACAATTAGATCCAATCAAACACCAGATCTCAACTCAAAATTCAAAAACGTAAAGACGCGCTCGGTTGCCTACTCAAACAGCATTGAATTACCATAACACGTAAACATTGAAATCAAATCGAACGAGAGAAGTTATCAGATCTAACGTTTACGATAATCAAACGGATCAAACGACTCACCATTTTCGAAGATTAGATTTGCGACGAGATTAACGTCGAATCGAGATCAAAGTTCCGTTGGTGTAGATACTAATTTAGATCCAGAGAGAGATGAGGAAGAGAACTTTGTGTGTAAATATGAAGAGCGAGATGCTTAATGCTTTGTAGTTACGGGAGTAAAATTACGAGAGTGCCACTGCGTGGGTGGGAATCTTGTGCGGGGTGGATATATGATAAAACGACACACTGTTGGTGGATCTGGAATTAATGAAACAGAAGATTTGCTTTAGCCAGTCTTTTTACTACTCATGTGTTGTGACGTGGCAGTGTGTAGTTGCCATGCTGGCAAACTGAACCCCAAATTTCATTTTACATTGTCATTCTAATACTCTCTCAAGTCTAAGGGTCTGTTTGGGAGTTTTTTTTTCACTGGTTTTGGAGGGTTTTTAATTAGACTGGTTTTGAGATGTTTAAAAACTCTTACTTGCCAGATTTTTTAATAGGCTGGTTTTGACTGGTTTAAAAACCCTTCAAAATCAGTGTAGTGTAATTTTAAGGGGTTTATAAAACACCCCAAATTAGGGTGTTTTGGCTGGTTTAAAAATTTTATCCCAAAAAATCCCTTTCCACTAAATGATAATAATCCCTTTGCTGCGCACAAATCTTTTGCTACTGTTGATTTCTCTCTCTTACAAAGTGAGTGAATGGTTTTAATTTGTGAGTGAATATTTTTAATTTGCTGCACACAACTCAGTAAGGGAGTCAGTTTTGTTTTTTTTCAGTTTTGTTAAATGGGATGTGAAGAAGAATGGTGGTTATGGATAAGTGTATGGCAGTTTTCTAAGTGGAGATGTTAACAGAGAATTGTATAATGAAGTGGTACTGATAGTGTAGTGCAGTTTTGTGAAGTGGAGATTATAAGAAATGTGTATAATGGAGTGGTATTGATAAAGTTGGTGCAGATTTGTTTAAAGGGAGATGATAAGAAGAGTGTGTAATATGGTTGGTACTGATATGTTTAGTCTGTTTTGTTTTTGTCAGTTTGTTAAATGGGCTTCCTATAAATACTTTAGCTGCTTTACTCTCTCTTGTTCTTCGTTTTTTTCCCTTATTTTCTTTCTCAGTGATTCTAAAATTCTCCAAGGATGACTGTGTTTTTGAATATTTTGTTCCACAGTTTTCTAACATCCTAAAAAAATAGTCACTGTCTGTTTGTTTTTGTCAGTTTTGTTAAATCATCCTTTTGTGCATTCATCATCTCTAACACCTGTCATACCATCAAATACACCTAAAATTTTAATCGATTTGAATTCTTGCTTCTCCAAGCCATTACAGCAGTAGATATGCCTCTACCCGCATGAACATTAGCTTCAAAATCTTCATCAATCTCATCCGAACTATTGGCAGGCTCATAAATCAAAAAGGTTTTAAAAGTAATTGGAGGTGTGCGTAACCCAAACCTATGAGTAGTCAGCAAAAGAGCAGAGTGTTGTTTTAATTTTATGGGCACACTATGTAAATTATCTTTAAAAAACTGTCAGAACCGTTGAAAATAAACTCCCAAGCACAGGTTAGTGTGTTTTAAAAACGCGTTAACTAAAAACCCCTCAAAACCTGCTACGATGGTTTAACCCTCATAACCACGCTACCTATAAAATCCCCAAGCAGGGCCTCTAGAGTGTTTTGGATTATATGTAAACACAAGCTGTCCTTATGTCAAAGGACCTTTTGAAATTAGGCATAAGCTTACTAGTTGATGAACACTTATATTTCGGAGAACTTGGTTATTAATTTGTTTTTTTTTGGTTTTTAATAAATGAAAAAAAAAAAAAATTTATTTTTATACTAAAAAAGAACTAAACTGAAGAAAAAATAAATTGTTTTTAATAAATTAAAAAAAATTACTGTCGTAAAAATAAAAGAAAAAAATTAAAAATATTTTTAAATTTTTGTAAAATAGTTTAACGTTTGATAAATACTAAATTGTTAAAAATGTTAAGTGTAACTGAGAAATTTGATGTAATAAAAATTTTTCTAAACAATGTTTACTAATAAGTTAAGTAAAAAAAAAAAAAAAAAACAAAAAGTTGTAAAACTTAAAAAAAATCTTTCTATGTTACAGTTTATAATAAAAAAAAAAAAAATGTCTTAAATAAATCTGTGCACTATATCTCACTAATCTTTCAAAATCTTAAAGTTAACGGTCAAATAATCCTGTAGTAGTCAATCTAATAGAGACTGAGGGGAATCGAACCTCTAAACTTTTTGAATAATACTCAACCGCGCACCCCAGGGTTGGTTTAAATTAAGAAAATTTAGGTCCAATTAAATGTAAAATTTATTGGACTAAGATTTGCAAGAGATTGCAAATTAACAATAAAATCAATTTTATACTTGACCTTAGCAACATGTTTATTTATATTAGATGTTTGATCTATCATATGCTTGCTTATTACATAATTTGGCATACCTTAAATATAGTCAGCAACAAATTTATTGGTACTAACGTTATCTTGTTTTGTACCTATTTCGGTCATGGAACTTAATAAAGAGATAGAAGGATATTTTTATGAGCTTTAAGTGGTCCACTTTTTAATCAACTACATAAAAGTTACAGAATATTGCATGCTACCCTCCCCTCTCTCGGAAGGTATCATTGACTTTTGTTTTCGATACAGATATAAACCTTATGCATATAGACCTGAATGGGCTTGTGGCTTTTAGGAAGCCCACCTACAGAGTGACTTTTGAAAGAAGTCCATTGTTTTTTTTTTTTTTTTTTTAAATGAAGGGGGTTGTCCAGGTCAGCTTACGCACATCTCAACTAATCTGTTGAGATTTTGAATGGAATATCGGTCAGGTAAGAGCTCTAGTGGTTACATTATTAACAATCAAGGAGGATTCAACCCAAGACCTCTTGAATAATATACCAAAGAGTTTCGATTTGAAGTTCAATATACTACGGGCCACTCCGAGGTAGTTGTCCATTTGTTTTCTCCCTTGGATTTTCAAACAATCATTGTTTTTAGACTTGTTTACTTTCATTGCTGGATTTTGATGATTTGATGCATGAACAAGAAGGAAAAAACTATATATTGATACTAAATTATTATATTAATTGATATAACAGCACGAAAACTAGTGGGGAGCATACAATTTGTGCAATTCTTGTAGCATTAATCAAGAGAACCTTTAAAGTTCCCTCGTTTACAATAAGTTATAAGAAAATGAGCGGTGCTCCATGTATAAATTATTATGTTACGAAATTGAGGTTCGTCCATTCACTTTGTATTATATCAATTATATAAAACTAAAAACAATTACTTCTACTTATTGAGAACAAATAACCGTTGTTACACACAAAAAAGTAATATAATAATAATGGACATAATATTTGCGCTTTATATTTGAACTAATTTAAAATTTCCTTTTATATACTCTTCTTTATTTTATTGCATTATTATTAATTTTTTCATTGGTTCAACATCATATTACTATATCACTAGCATCCTGACCTTGCATATTCCCACAGAAACTTGTGTATTTCTAATTGGTGCGAGAAATCGCAACAACAGTTGGAATAAGATAACAAACTAGAACAACTTTAGAATATAATTATTGTTGATATGGGTCATACTTTGCATAGGCTTGAAGTCCCCTACACAAGATACATTCGGGGGTCCCACTTCTCGTGAGTGGGTTGAGTCACGCTGGCTAGTGAGCGAGTGGGGGTAGAGGACATGCAGCCCCTTTCACGGTAAGTCTAATTAGTAATTAGACTTGTTATTGTTTTACTAATGTTTGGGTTGGGTCAGGTTGTATTCGAGTAGGTCCAAGGGGATAGGATTTTCTATTATGATTTGATAGTGAGAACAAAGGGTTTAGAGATATAAAAGAGAGGGAGTTGTCGTCTTATAGATTATAATGCAACAAGCTCTAAAACTTGATACAAAACTTATTTGAATGCTAGACGTGTTCCTTAATCGGAACGAACCAAGATAAATCAATTATCCTATTTACTTTTCTGTTTTATTTTATTGCGTGTGTTTGGCTGTAGTTTCACAATTATAATGCGTGTGAAAAGTTACAAGAACTCTGAACCGAAACATCACACAATTTTAAAAAGCCCAACAAACTCAAACAATTTTAAAAAGTCTCGCAGCATCGTTGTCATCATCTCTTCTCCATTGGGAGGGCTTAACATCGAATTAAACTCAATTTCATGTAATGTGTCAAATTTAGAATTCTCTATACGTAAATAACTCTATGCTATATACATAATTAAAAATCATGATCATATTAATGGTATAATTAATAAGATTATAAAATCTCACTCATTCTTCCACAAAAGGGTTCCATTGCATCAATATTTCATAAACTTAAATCACATTCATTACATAATCAGAGAAATTAATTTTCTTTGTGGTAAAATAAACCCTTAAACCGACTGCAATTAGTGAGAGTTGTCTTTACTAGCTAAAAAAGTAAAGGCAAAACTAAACGAGACTGTCTTCTTTATTGCTAAGAGATAAGCACTCAATTAATAATTTTTTTCATGCATTTACACTCATCACTCTTTATATTATATATATACAAAAAAAAAAAAAAAAAAAAAAAAAAAAAAACATTTTCTATATTCAGTATCCTATGTAAGTATATATGCAATGTACTCTTTGTTCAATATCTTCCTCAGCAGAAAGAAATAACGCGCGCAGAGAGAAATCAATATGGCGAGAAATGGTGTGGGGAAGCTTCTGCTGTTGATTACAGTCATGGTGATGTTCGTGCTTGCGGCATATGTCGCGCAAGTGCAAGCCGACATAGACAAAAAGTGCTATAAGAAGTGTTATTCTAAAAAGTAATACTACACCATCAACAATTTTTCACAAACTTTCCTTTACAACTCTGATGTGACAGTTTATAATTGGTCAGCTCGCAATTAGTTAGTGAGACCCATATGAGACCCATTGTAAATTAATTAATTGTGAGCTGCCGCGTCAGGATTGTGAGAAAAAGTTTATGAAAGATAGTTGTTAGTGTAGTATTATTCTATTCTAAATGTATGGGCCGATTTCGTGCAGTGTGTCGCCAAATTTGTTTACGAAAATGCAGAATTCCACTGTTCATCGAAGATGCCCCAGACAATTGACCCCTTGGCTGTGCACAGTCCA